CCCGCTGGTGATCCACTTGGGCCTGGAGTCTCCTGGCTGGATTCTCCAGGTTGGTCACTGCTGCAGGGATCTGTCTGGTCCTGGTCACTGCTGCAGGGTTCTGTCCTGGTCCTGGTCACTGCTGCAGGGTTCTGTCTGGTTCTGGTCACTGCTGCAGGGTTCTGTCTGGTCCTGGTCACTGCTGCATGGTTCTGTCTGGTCCTGGTCACTGCTGCAGGGTTCTGTCTGGTCCTGGTCACTGCTGCAGGGTTCTGTCTGGTCCTGGTCACTGCTGCAGGGTTCTGTCTGGTCCTGTCACTGCTGCAGGTTCTGTCTGGTCCTGGTCACTGCTGCAGGGTTCTGTCTGGTCCTGGTCACTGCTGCAGGGTTCTGTCTGGTCCTGGTCACTGCTGCAGGGTTCTGTCTGGTCCTGGTCACTCCTGCAGGGTTCTGTCTGGTCCTGGTCACTCCTGCAGGGTTCTGTCCGGTCCTGGTCCGGTCCTGGTCTGGTCCTGTCTGGTCCTGGTCACTGCTGCAGGTTCTGTCCGGTCCTGGTCACTGCTGCAGGGTTCTGTCTGGTCCTGGTCTCTGCTGCAGGGTTCTGTCTGGTCCTGGTCACTGCAGGTTCTGTCTGGTCCTGGTCACTGCTGCAGGGTTCTGTATGGTCCTGGTCACTGCTGCAGGGTTCTGTTTGGTCCTGGTCACTGCTGCAGGTTCTGTCTGGTCCTGGTCACTGCTGCAGGGTTCTGTCTGGTCCTGGTCACTGCTGCAGGGTTCTGTATGGTCCTGGTCACTGCTGCAGGGTTCTGTCTGTCCTGGTTTTTGCCTCTTTAAGAACTGGGAGATCTTCCCTTCTCTCTTCATTTTGGCTCTACACAAATAAGAGCCTGGTATTTAGACTCCATGACTGTTTGGCAGAGACACTATTTTAACTATTATTTAAACCATAGTTTTTAGTTTTCTGTAGCTATCTAAAATACTAAATTAAAAATACATTAATCAAATTAATTAATATAACTAGTGAGGTTATAATTCAAAGCTTTCATATGACATGCCTACTTACATTTCAGTCATTATTATTAATGGTTTTTCTCATATTCTTACCACACATTTCAAGCAAGAGCTGGGAGAAATAAAACATTAGAGGGCAGCATGTCACTAAAACATGTTAAAAGAATCTGTCTAAAACACGATCTACCAGCACTAGCATGGCTAATATAATAAACGAGGCACTATGCAGCGGTACACAACCATTTTGTTTCTTTTTAGAAATGTATGACAAGAGCCGCCTCTCATTAGGAAGGTAACAGCGGTTACTGCTGAGCGGTAAAATGTTGGAAATACCTGCAAAACTCCTGATGGTGTAACTCTAAAGCCGTGGATGTGTTTTGGATCAAGCAGGAACCAACATGTCAGTTTTAACCAATGAACAGCGTCGGGCATCGGGCTGCCTTCAGGGACAGTCGGAAATTACACTTTTCCTGGCAAATCTTTGCCGATCTCATAAGTATTTTTTTAAATTACCATTTCCAGTGGGGTGGCAGTAGGGGGGGCCAGGGGCCTGTTGGTGGTGGCAAGTGCCACCCCGGCCACCCCTCTGGCTCCGCCACTGGGTTAGAGGAACCATCCGTCTACCAAACTACCAAAAGATTTAAAATCAAAGGTGGGAATCGTCAGGGATGCCCTTTATCTCCCTTTTTGTTTCTTCTCCCTATGCAAATTCTGGCTACTTTTATTAAAAATAATGATCTGAAAAGCATCTTGGCAGGAAAAACTAAACTTTTTAATCCATTTTCTGTAGCATCTGGTCTTAAACTTATCTAAATGTGAACTTCTTCCAATCAATAGTTGTGATCAATTATTTTTAAGTCTGAAGTCAACTATCGTTAAAGAGCAAACAGCAAGAATGAACAAAACCTGTAGTCAATTATTTAATCTCTGGTTGCAGATTAATGTTGACCGTCTCTGCTCGAGTCCTGCTGGACAAAACTGAAAGTCACACTTTGCACTAAAAGCAATCAAATAATCTTTGATTTCATTTGGGCAAAGCCCCGTCTTATTAGGAACAATGTTCTGATCGATAGACTAAGTTCAGGTGGTTTCAATGTTCTGGACTTTAATTCCTGACATTCTACATTCACAGTTATGTGGATCCAAAGATATTTCAAAAATCCTAATTCAAAGTGTCACTGGATTCCTGCACAAGTCTTTAAATCATGGTGGCTCAGACTTTTTATCAAGATGTAACTACAAAACAGAAACGCTCCCTGTTCATTTATGCAGCTTCCTTAAACACAACTTTCATCCTGGACATTGGTTCATAAACATAACTTTTCCCCTCATAACTGTTTTATTTGGAATAACCAAAATATTAGCTTCAAGCAAAGAACTGGGTGGAAAATGATATTCTATTTTATTGTTTTCGAATCAAAGGAAAATTTTTATGTTGATAAACTACATAGTTTCATCTTATTTTTTCCTATATTTTAGTCTCTACCAACAAAAAGTCTCTCAGAATAATATACGTTACCATAAAAACAAAATGTGAATTTTATCTTGGATCTGTTTAACAACCTGGTTTATTTCTTCTGTGAGAGATTCATTTTTTGTTATTGACTTTTGTTCAATTAAGTTTCTTATGTATACTTTGTAAATTATATTTTACTAATTATTTACTTCCCCTGTAATTGGAGATATAGATATTATTTATAATGTATAAAGGTCTTTTCTATGTCATTTTAATGAGCTCTGATTATGTTTTATTAGAAAATGCATCTTTATAGTGTCAGTAATGCTGAAATTAATAGCAAATAAAAACTTTGTGCTATTCTGATTTAGTAATGTAGTGACATTAGTTGTGTTACCACCCCACGCCACTAGAGGCAGCATCAGGCCCAAAAAGATGCGACTGAGAAAGTGAAAGAGTGAAATCCTTCCTAAAGGTGAAAATATATCACAGATTTCAAAGGAAAATAAAAACGAGAGGATAATATTGGAAATAGCGCCCCTTCATTTCCAGTGTGCAATGGTCCTGTTTCCATATAAGGTCTGAGGCTGACAGCGGTCCGCCCCGCCCTTCCTGTTTCGCTGCAGCAGGTTCTTCTCGCTCAGAGCGACCCGACCTGAAGCACCTGACTGTTGTTCCGCGGTTGTCCTGCAGGGGGCATCATCACGAGACTATTTGTTAAAAACATTTTTATTTTATCTTTATAAAAATGAAAATAATTATTTCCAGCTGCAGATGACATCACTGATGACGTCACTCAGATGAGGTCTGACCGCCGGCGGCTCCTCAGGCTGTAGCGGTGCTGCGGGAGGTGGCGGGGGGTGGGAGGGGGGGTGGAGGAGAAGAAGGGGGGCGGGGGTTAATAACCAGAACGAAAAACCGGGTTTCCCTCCACAACCGGACACACCTTCCTGTCCTCCACCAGGACGCTGTACACCAGGGGTGGCGGAGTCTGGACTGATGCATGATGGGAAGAGGAGTGGAAGAGGAGACGGGCGCTCTGACCTGAAGGAGAACCAGGGAGGTCAGAGGTCATCAGGTGAGACAGGCCGCATCATGGTAAAACCTCCATTAGTAATTATGCTTATCGATTCAACAAAACATTTAATTTTTATCCCTTAATATGAAACTAAAAACCAAAGTTTGACATTTTAAAATACAAACTGCAGAGATAAAAATAATGTTGAATAAAATCTCTAAATATGGAGGAGAGACCTGATCCGTCAAAACTCAGACCAGAACTTGGATGATTCTGGTTCCTCTGGTTTTACTGGTTATAGTGACTTAAAGGTGAAAAGCTTCTGAGCTCTGCATTTGCCCGAAGCTTTAGCTCCGCCCCTCTAAAGTCAGCTGACCTGAAGGCGCCATGTGGGAGGAGCCTGTGCCCAGTGATGACATCATACTGAACTCCTCTTCCTCCTCTTCCTCCTCTTCCTCTCTGCTCCGTAGCCTTTCTGCTCTTGCTGTCTTCTGGAAATCAACCAGCAGGTGGTGCTGTTTAGGAATGAACCAGCAGATGATCCGGGTGTGTTCAGGTGCGCCCCCTGTTCACCTCACCTTCAACTGCAGCCGACGGTCCTCCAATTTCTTCTTCTCCTGTGTAAACCTCTCTGTAAATGACAAGCAGGTCCTTTAAGCCCAGCCTGACGCACCTGACCTGGTCTCACCTGGACACTCACCTGCAAGCCGTAGCGCCTCCTGCAGGTTGCTCTGCGTCTCTCTGAGCTGCTGCAGCACTTCCAGGCTCTGCTGCACCGGGTCTCTGTAGCGAACACACACCAGCAGCAGAACACACAGGGCAACACACACCGAGAGGCGCCGCAGCGCAGCAATGTACGCTGAGACCAGCTCCTGTACACAACGGCTTCTGAATTACTCACTGAAACATGCAATGTTACAACTTTACTCACCGAAACACGCAATATTACGACTTTACCTACCGAAACACGCAATGCTACGACTTTACCTACCGAAACACGCAATGTATGACTTTAGTTTTTGTCTTATAACTACGACTCTTGTACTTCAACTATTCTTTATTGTTGCGACTAATTTTTATTACCATTTTTGTATTATTACGATTTTATTCTTGTATCATGACTGTCATTCATTTTTGTCTTGACGTGTCCAGGAAGCTTTTTCAGCCAATAATCTTCTGAACACGGATGTGGTCATGTGACCTGATTATTTTCTTGAGCAGCACAGGAAGTGATTGGTGGCATCTTGGTGATTAATTTATTTATTGCTTCTGGTATTAATTTTCCAGAGAACCCTGAACACATCATCTTATGTTGTGATTAAACTGGGTCACTTCCTGTTTTTGTTGGTCAATCTGGACGCTGGACAAAACCAGTTATTTCCCAAAGACCCCCCTGCCCTAAGCCCCGCCCCCAGGTGAGTCTACCAACCATATGAAGGTGTTCTGGTTGGTCGGAGCTCAGCACATGCTGGTAGATCTTCTTCTCCAAGTAGAAGTTGACGCAGACCAAGGCCAGCAGCAGCCTGGACCCAGGGGAGGAGAGGTCACTCAGAGGTCACCTGTTCTGGTTTTCAAGGCTCTACAGAATTCTCTGGATCTTAAATCCAAGCTGCAGCTTTACTAGTAAACGGTGCAGCTGCTCCTCCTGCTGGTGGAAGCTGGAACTGCCAATGTAGCAAACATGCAGGAGCAGGTAACAGGTAAAAGGAAGGGGCTACCTGGCACTGGAGGAGCGAGGGGTGGAAGTGATGAGGTAGGAGGTGCAGAGCGCGGCTGCGTTGTAGCAGCAGGAAGTCAGGCTGTGAGCCTCCATCAGCAGGAAGCCCTGCAGGAAGGAGAGCCGCTGGAAGAGCTGCGACAGCGCCACCTGCTGCTGCCTGGAGGCGCTGCTGAGGTCAGAGAAGACCGCCTGCACACCTGGAGGGATTGGAGAGGGAGCAGGGGACAGGTGAGACAGGGGGGGACAATCAGCAAACTGAGATGCATCAGAATGATTCCTTGACCGACTGAATGACCGCTGAACAAAACGAGATCTTTACCCAGACTTTAGTCTGGGTAAAGTGTCTTACCCTGAGTGGAGTCTCTCAGGGTGGCTCGTAGATCCTCTCCATTGGACAGGATTTCTTTCTGTGCCTTTAAGGCGACACTCTGGGCTTCCATCAGCTCGTTGGCCATCTGTCTGGTGGACTGAAGCTGATCAGCAACACCTGCTGAGGCCTCCGTCAGCCTCAACACAAGTTAATGTAGCAGATTAGCGGCATGTTGAGTTAGCATAATGCTAACAGTGTGGGAGCAGGTCAGAGGTCAGCAGAAACAAAGAGAGCTGAATGAGCCTGAATGTTGGTGAATGTCTGCACCAGGCCGACGTCAATGTTTCCTATCAATAATCATTTATTATGTGATCAGAGATGATCCAGAGGAAACCAGACAATAACTATTATTCATAAATCAAAATGTTAATACTTCTGTATTTTTACTCCACAATAAATGTTTAGCTTAGAAACAACGTGATCATTGTTGTTTTTATTTTGGTTTGTAAAACTGGCAGAAAACTTGTTTTAAAATGATGATCAACATTTTCAACTCTTTTTTTTCAAAACTACATTTAAAAGAAAATTGTTATTTTTTTATGTTGCATATATTAATTTTGTTATCTAAATAGAAAGAAATAAAAAGTTAGTAAAAATATGCAAAACCTGGTTAAAACCGACAGGGTTAAGAAAAGTTCCTGCTGCTCACCTGTGCATGGTGCTTTCTGCGCGGCTCTGCCAGGCCTCCGCCTGCAGGAAGTGGCAGATGGAGTGGGTGTGGGTAAAGAACTCAGTGTAGGTGTTGAAGGCCACGGGATCCATCCCAGCAGTACACCTGCTGACCTCTGACCCCTCAGGGCAGGATGGGAAATCCCTGCCTGAGCTGAAGAGAAACAGGTTGAAAGGCAGATCTGAGTTGTAGTAAACAGAACGGTCACAAGGTGGCAGCACTCTCTGACAACTCATCAGCTCAGTTCAAACAAAAACAAAAAAGACAAATTAACATCAAGAAAGAAAATAAAAGCCCAACAGGAAGTCATAATTATGAGACAAAGTCATCCTGTGACTTTAAAACTCAATCATGACTTTCTGATGGCTTTTATTTTTCCTTTCCTGGTGGAAACATAAAAACTTTAAAATGTAATTTCAGGATAAAATGTAGAACCTTTAGAAAACAACATTATGGTTTCCAAAGTGTGGTGTGGGGGCCAGCTGTGGCCCCTGGCATGATTCTGTGTGGCCATTGACTGCAGAGCAACAATGGTACCAACTGGACCCGTGAGCAAAGGAGACGGAGAGTTTCATTACCAAAATAAAAGCATATTATGAAGGAAAATGTATCATTTTAGGTTTTGATTTCTTACCTGGATCAGAACCAGGAACCCAAATCCTGGTTCTGGTTCAGACCTACTGCAGGAAACACGGCGACACCGGAACCGCTTCGGTCCGGTTTCACTGAACTGCAAATGTTTTCCTTCATTTACCTCAAATCTTCATTTTCAGCTTTTTTTTTTTTTTTTTAAAAACAACAAATTATTTTACATAAAAAAGGAAAATATTAAAATATTTCATCTTTGGACAGAACAGGTGAGTCCATAACTATAGTGACGTCATAGTTTAATAACCTTCACGTGACGATGTCGTCACATCCCAGAAAAGCCACGTTTTCACATCAGAACCGCGGTTCTGACCAGAGTCCAACAGAACCGGACTCTGGGTCTGTTTCTCTGCTGCAGCGCAGTGAACAGAACCACTAGGTTCTGTTCTGGTTCTGAAGAATCCAGTGCGGCCGGTTCTCCCTCCCGGTTCCGACCAGCTGCTCACCTGCTCAGGTGACAGTGGGTGAAGTGCAGCGCCAGGCGGCTCTGACTCTGTGACGTCATCTCCCTGCAGCGCGTGTCTAGCTGTTCCAGCGCGCGCGCCCAACACCCGCCGTACTGCGGCTGCGCGGCGAGGCTCTGGATCCGCCGCAGCCCATCCTCCCGCGCTCAAGGTCCGGACCCGAACCGGAACCGGGTCCGAGGATGAGGGATCCACACAGCAGCAGCAGCGACCCGCATACTCCATCCTCACCTGCCTTCAGCTCAGCCAATCAGAGAGCCGCGTTTTCACCTGCTCAGGTCACGAGGGCCGTGACCTTTTGAGGGTCATTAACGGCTCCGTCAACAGGTGCTGAGCGGAACCACGTGACCTGACAGGAGCTGCGCTCCTCTGATTGGAGGAATAATGAAACACGAAGTTGGAGATCAATAAAAAATGAAATATGATTCATAATTTGATTGTTCAGGCTGCAGCAGGAAGATGTGACGTGTCACCATTTTTACTCATGTTTATTCATGAATCCTGCATATTAATTTCTGCCTGTTATTAAAAAACATTGGGCTCTGACCGCCAACCTTTAGACCTGCAGGTTTCTGTCTGATTTACGGCTGAATTCTGATGACGTCACGCATTTCAGCCGATATGCAGCTGAGACTCAACCGGACCAGAGGATTCAGTCTGGGCCAGACTGGTCAGTCTGGGCCAGACTGACCCAGACTGACCCAGTCTGGCCCAGACTGACCCAGTCTGGATCAATATTTTAATGAACTTTATCCTTGTTTATTATCCTTCAGCTTGATGGGGTCATAACATGCTGATAAAAGGCAGCACAGCCATCTAATAACCTCTGAATAATCCAAAGCTGAGAGAATTTTATCACATCAGATCTTTGCTTGAAACCAGGCGTCTCAAACTCCAGTCCTGGTGGCCCTGGGGGCCCCTGCAACATTTAGATGAGCCTCTGCTGCATCTGAACAGAATACTGAGACATTCAGGCTCTGGGATCTGATCTACACCAGGTGGAGGTAATTAAGCCATTTCATTCCAGGGTTTTGTGCCTGGAGTCAGACTGCTGGTTAAAAGCCCTTTCATTTCTTATGCAGTTTCTCAGAATCACCAGCAGAGGGCAGTGGTTAATCTTCAGCTCTTGTTCAGCCCAGTTTCCTTGTTTCGCTGCTATGAGATATCCTCCATCATTCTAATAAAATAATGATAAATCCTAATAATACCTTCATCCTGCATAAATGTGATTAATATTGAAAGCCTGAAATGCAGCAGGATGAAGCTCAGTGGGTTCTGGATCAGACCGGTGAGGAAGAGTCAAACACAGACCAGCATGACAGGACAACAAATGGTTTTAGTTAGAAACAAAATAAGAAAACAGGTAAAAACTAGTTCTTCTACAGCGACGGTGTTTTCTGGAGTTTCACTGAATTCCAACCAGAGTAAAAGCAGAATATTCATCCTCAATATTAGCAACTATGAAGTCACCACACACATTACTACTAAGGTCTAGAAACACAACATGGCTCGGCTGACATGGTGGCTCCTGGCAAGACACACAATATTATTATTATTAATATAGGCACTAACTCTGGAACATGCAATATGGTGGCTGGTTACTGCAGATTGTGCTGGGTCGAGTCGGTGGAGCGGGTCCAATCAGAGAGGAACGTTTCTGCGGTGGCGAGCAGCTGATGGTTGTCGACTGGCTGCTCTGGCGGCGGCGCGTACGCAGAGGCCGGGCTACGCTAAACGGAGCCGGGTTACTGGATCCAGAACCAAGAGACACTGGGAGCTTCAGGTCAGAGTCACAGAACCCTAACAGGAAGCTCCAGCAGGTCACAGTTCATCTTCCTGAAGATGTGTTGGTTTCTGCGTGATGACTCTACAGCATGACCCCTCAGAGACTCTGAAGGCCCTCACACACTTCAAGAGCCAAAGTCAGCTCTCACTGACGTAGACGCCATCTTGTTTGCAAGATGTCTACCTCCTTCTCAACGCCAGGTCGAACTACTTTCACAGAGCTCTGTGGTCAGACGTTTATTCAGACAGAAATGTTGATATTTTGCTTCAACTTCGTCCACTTCCACTGCCCAGTTTACATTTCTACATGATTACTTTAGAGGGACGCTTATGTGACGCGATGGGGAATTACATCATGCAAATTGAAAGCCAACTTAGGAAATGTCGCAACAAAGAAGAAAAACAAATTAGCCCTGAATCATTGAGCCCATAGCAGACGCGCTCAAGTCCGGTCCTCCAGGGCCGGCCGCAGCTCTCAGCAGCGCTTCCCTGCTCCAGCACCGCTGAACCCAAAGTCTGGCTGGTTACCAGGCCTGTTCAGAGCCGATCCGGTCCGTCCGAGTCAGGATAAGAGTTGCAGGACGGGAGCTCTGGAGGACGGGACTTGAGTTACACAAAGAGTCATGGCGTGAATGAGCAGGAAGTAGAGCTTATAAACTAGCATGGACCAAAACCTTTGTGCTGGAGGTCTGGACTTTTGAATTTCTCCAGGTTTCGTTCCTCTGGTAAAACACGGACCGGACTGCTTGTTGCGTCCATCTCTCCTTCAGCGATTAACCGTTTTTTGGAAGAGCCAAAAATCACCTCACACAAGCGTAAAAAGTTTTGTGAAATGAGGAAGTTATTTTGAATGTTACCATTTCCATCAACCTTTTCTAACGCAACACTTCAAAACAGGCATGAAAAACCCTGGATGGAACCGCAGCGGCATCTCGCAATGTCTGCTTCCAGTCGGTCCTGGTGAACCGGGTGCAGCTGGAGTAACAGCAACAGAGATGATTGAACTGAAGGTGTTGCTGGATGTCCTTAGTGGTGAGATTGGGCTGTTGGTCAGACACTAAACGACCACAGAGCAAGAACTAGCCAAACATTTCCTTCTGATACTGTCTGCGGTTTCGTTAAGAACGCCTGAAACACCACATGGATTCAGCGGTAAAGCTGGCAAGGAATCTCAGTGTAATGAGTGGCTGCGTCATCAGCAACAGGAACTGATCAAACCATTTCATGGTGACTGCAGCTCAGAAAGCATCCTGACGCCTCTTAACTGAGACTCTCAGATCCGTCCTCTCTGCACAGCCGGATCCAACAGAACCACCTTTCCTGGTTAGACCTGGACCATGAACCTGAGCCACATTGGCCTCTGCGAATGCCGGCCCCGGTTGAAGGCCTGCAGGTCTCTGAGCGACATGCAGGGGCTTGATTGTATAAAGTTGAGATGTGCAAACTGTTCCAGACATCTGACGTAAAGACACATTTAGAATGGGTCCTTTCCCACACATTCATTATCAAAAGAACTCAAATAAAGCTACTGTAGGCATGGGTTTGGTTTGATATCAAAAGTGCTTACGGTAGAAACAAAATTTGAGAGAAACATACAAGTTCATGAAGACCAGTTTAGGAAAAATCCTGGAAGAACTGGCTGAACTGGAAATGTTGAAACACCAATGAGCAGCTTTTCTTATCAGCCGGATTCATCAGATCCTGAATGAGCTGAGAAGAACCATGAACTCCTCAAGTTCAAATCCCTCTGAACCAGGCCGTCAGACTCGGGGTTCCAGCTTGTTCCAGATTCTGAGGAAAACTGGAAGAGGACTGAGAACTTTAACACTTTTGATCTGAGGCAAAATGGCGAGAGGCAAGAGTGAGCGCAGGAACTGAGAACACTAAAAGAAAGCCTCTGCTTTTTAGGGTTTCATGGAAAACCTTGAAAAATAAAGATGAACATTTTAAGAAACCAATTTAAGGTGCAAACGCCACATTGCCTCGTAGACAGACTTCAGTCAAGGACTGGTTTGAGGAAAGGACTCTCAGTCACCGTGGGCCATGTTAGAGTCAGGGCTGTTGGTAATATTACTTCTTAAAGCTGTATAACAAAGACAAACAATCAACTACTAAATAAAAAACAGATTATATCCGGAAGCAACATTTTATCAGAGTAATGTGTTGTTTAGCGACGGTTTTTCGTTCCAAACTACTCCCCACCTCCATATGGAGACTAACAGGATGCAACAGCTGCCTTTAGATTATATACACACACACTTTTTCCTTTTCGTTTGTTTTGTTCTAGAAAAAGACTCTATTCGTTCCCCTCAGCGCCAAACCAGCTGTACCTTCTACAACTTCACAAAGTCTCCAGACAGAATCAACAGTAGAAGCTGAGACGGTTCTTCCAGCTCCTGTTTGAAAACAGAGTGAGTCCATACAGCTCCATGAACAGCACGGCCATAGTCCTCCGTCTGGGGTTGACTCGTCTATAAGGTCACCAATCTGCTTGCCTTCCACCTGACCAACCAATCAGCTGACTTTCACTGACAGCAGTCGTGACTCTACGGTTTCCTCACAGCTGGGACGGGAACGGTGGACTGTGGGACAATGTCTCTGAGCTCCTTGCTGTCACCTGCTGCCTCTGGCTCCACCCTCAGTCGAGCCCTACCGTCTGCTCCAGGCACAAGACTGGACCCTGCTACTCCAGGAGGTCCAGGTGGCACAGAGCTGGAAGGTCTTGATGTGCTGTTTGAGCCTCTTTCACCTCCTAAAGCTTCTCTGGTATCTGATCCTGAGAGCAGCTCTCCTCTTCCCTCCATCCTGATGTCCTCCATGCTGGCGTCTCTTCTTGGGAACTGGCTCTCTTGGGTAGGCTTGGTGCTCAGGTCCTGAGGCTGTTCACTCTGGTTCCGCTGAGCAGGAATGGGATTGGGATGGACGTGGCTGGATGATGAGGGTCTGTGAGAAACAAGGTTCTGCGCATGTAGCCTTGTGTGTTGAGAGAGGGACTGGGGATGCAACTGGGTTTGAAAGCTTTGAAAGTGTGGATGTGTTTGGGATTGGGGAATGGGTGGCCTAGGCTGGGTGGGAGATTGACTGGGTGGGGCTCTATGTGGATTTGGGACATGGTGTTGCAAGGTCTGTCTCATACGTGTTTGAGGCAGCATCTGAAGGCCAGATTGCAAGTGAGGATCAGGTTGAGCTGGAACCCTTGTCTGCAGCTGGCTTTGATTTTGTGTTGGGACCCTGGTCTGTGGTGGACTCTGAAGATGTCCTGAAGTTCTTGCCTGGGGTTCACTCTGAAGTTGAACTGGGCCCCTGGTCTGTGGTTGACTCTGGACTTGTGTTGGTGTCTTGGACTGGGGTTGACTCTGGACTTGTGTTGGTGTCTTGGTCTGTTGACTCTGGAGTTGTGTTGGTGTCTTGGACTGGGGTTGACTCTGGACTTGTGTTGGTGTCTTGGTCTGTGGTTGACTCTGGAGTTGTGTTGGTGTCCTAGTCTGTGGTTGACTCTGGACTTGTGTTGGTGTCTTGGTCTGTGGTTGACTCTGGAGTTGTGTTGGTGTCTTGGACTGGGGTTGACTCTGGACTTGTGTTGGTGTTTGGTCTGTGGTTGACTCTGGAGTTGTGTTGGTGTCCTAGTCTGTGGTTGACTCTGGAGTTGTGTTGGTGTCCTAGTCTGTGGTTGACTCTGGACTTGTGTTGGTGTCCTAGTCTGTGGTTGACTCTGGAGTTGTGTTGGTGTCCTAGTCTGTGGTTGACTCTGGAGTTGTGTTGGTGTCCTAGTCTGTGGTTGACTCTGGACTTGTGGGTGTCTTGGTCTGTGGTTGACTCTGGATTTGTGTTGGTGTCCTAGTCTGTGGTTGACTCTGGACTTGTGTTGGTGTCTTGGTCTGTGGTTGACTCTGGATTTGTATTGGTATCCTAGTCTGACGTAAACTCTGAATTTGTGTTGGAGGCCTGGACTGGTGTTGACTTTGAATCTGTGTAGGTAATCTGTCTTGGGATTGAGCCTGTGGTTGCGTCTCAATTCTTGCCTGTGATTGAGGCTGAATTTTGGGTGGTGTCTTGGTTTGGGACTGTGACTGAGATTGTGTTTGAATTCTTGGCTGAGGTTGGAGTTGGGGCTGAACTGAGGTCTGAGGGTGGGATTGTTTAATCTGGGATTGGATATGAGGCAAATGTCTTGGCTGAATCTGAGGCTGGAGTGCTGTGGAGGACTGGACCTGTGATTGTGAATGCCTAGTTTGAGATGGCTGAGCATGCAGCACAGGTGGGGACTTAGGTGGATCAGTCTGATGGTGGCTTTGGTGCTGGGCTGTGGAGAGTGACTGGGCTGACTGGTTGGTAGACAATGGGTGACCGAGGGTTTGGATTTGGGGCTGTAGGGACAGAGTCTCAGGCAGTAAATGTCTGGTGGAGGATGACTGGGATACTTGCAGAATATGGGCTTGTGATGGACTGGGTAATGAAGTATGAGGACAGGAATGGGGTTGGTGGTGTGGTGGAGAAACAGGTTGTAAAGATTCAGGAGGGGGCTGAGGCACGACTTTTGGTGTGGTTTGGGGGGAACCTTTTTTTCAGGGTTTGATGAGGCACAGTCTGGGATCAGCTTCCGGCCTGGGTTGGCTAGGAGGAGACTCAGAAAGTGTCAGAGGAGGAGCTGGGTGATCTAATGGTGAGCCAGAGGACTGTTGGTGGCGATGATGATGGTGGTGGTGATGATGGTGTTTATGAGGTGTCGTTCCTTCCTTTTGTGGCTTTTTGAAGGGATGATGCTACTACTGCTGCTACTCTTTCCACCCCCTCCTTCATCTTCACCAACATCCTTGCCTTTGCTTCCTTCATCTCCAGATTCTCTTTTTTCCTTGTGCTTCTGGCACTTATGTGACTTGTGTCCATGGGGTTGGCTCTCGTCTGAAGCAGAAGGTTGCTTCTCTGACTGGCTTCCTAAAGTAGATGTAGGCTTTGGGTCTGAGCTCGGACCTCCCTCCGCCTTTCCTCCCTTTTCCTGTGCTGCACCGGTGCTTCCAGGCTCAGCAGGTGTAACCAGTGGAGCTTGAACACTCTCCATCTCTTCCACAGTTTCTCTTGTTTTGCGCTTTTTGATTGGCAGAGCCGTTTCCTGAACAACAGGTTTAATGGAAGACTCCTTAGCCGCTCTCCGTTTGGCTTCAGCCACCATAATGGCAGCTGCGGTGTAGCTTCCAGCTGTTGAGCTACCAGAGGCTGTGGTTGAAGACGTGGAAGCAGCAGTGACTGTTGATGGTGCAGAGGTTGATCCTGGTTTCCTTCCTCGTTTTTTGGGAGCAGCCTTGGGTGGAGGTGGAAGTTCCTGTTCTGATTTTCTCTTTCTGCCTGGCCGGGACTTGGGCACTGCGGTAGGAGACACCACCTGCAGAGGAAAAACCAGATCAGCAGAAGCACGAGTTATGGTTGTGGTCACAGACACAGTTGCACAGGGTGAATTTACAACTCAACCTTTAAAGCTGCGAGTTTTATCTTCAATATAAAAATGTCCAGGTGAGGGACTAAACAACCGTCATACCTTTGATGGGGTTGCAGAGGAGGACTCAGCCTTGCCAAAAGGCATTTTAACCAGCAGTTTTCCTGGAGTTTTCTCAACAACTCGCTTCATGGCCACACCCTCAGTGGCCTGACGCATTTTTCCACTGCCTACACAAATACAAGAGATGAACACAGAAGAACCACTTATGAAAAGCTGTCTTGATTTAATGACTCATCTGCAACTTCTGCTATCCCGGCATGTGTACCTTTGGGCCGCCCTCGGCCTCGTCCTGATGGTTTCACCGCTTTTGGTTTTTTGGGAGGGCGCTTTTCACGACGGGATGGGCTTCCGCGCCCCGTGACAGTAAAATCAAAATCATTGGGATCGGTCTGCTTGTCACCAATCTTCTCAAAGTAGGCAATGAGTTCCACCTTTGACCGAAATGCCTTTCCCTCCGAGCTTTACAGAGCAAAAACAGCTAAATGTTAATGGCATTCATTTGAGACTGTATTCTTAAGCACCAAAGGGAACCGTCATCATGTTGATCATGATTTACTTGATCAGGTAGACATCAAACTTCCCCGCAGAGCGTCCAGACTTTCTCTGCTTCAGTTTCCGGGTCCAGCCTTCAGGCAGCGACGGGTCATCGTACATCGGCCCTCGGTCTCGAATGACGGAGCGCCGTTGCCTGGGAGAGCCTGCAGACTCGGACCCTTGGTCTGAGGGACCCGCCACTGGTTCTGCCACCTAAAGGGTGGAAGGACAAATAAACATTTCTGCACATCATTCTGGCTGTTACCTCTCCAACTCTCCATGTGTTCTATACCTGGCTCTGTGGCTCCACCCCCCCCTGTGGCTGCTCACTAACTGCTGAAGGGGTGGTTGAGGCCGCGCACTCGGCCCCCTGGTCACCATGACGGCGCTCCCTGCGTGGCTTCTTTGTCTTACTGTGTGACCTGTCTCTCTGTCTGGCTGAGGGTTGGGGGTCTCCCTCCTCACCTTCTTGTCCCTCCCTGGGAAAAATATGACCCTGTTAATGTTGCATCTCTCAATCACAGCAAACTGTCCATCAGCAACTGGAGTACAAGTCTTCATGTGCAGCACTGGCAGCTTTACCAGCTAGTGCTAACTGAAAGTGTTTGCTGAGAGTTTTACTGTCCGATAAGTGACATGACCATGACGGTCCCCCTGCCTGTGGACCGCAGCGTTACGCCTCAGAGCCGGTGGCGTTATTAGTGTTAGTTTCTCTACTTTTCTGCTGAGTTTAGATAGAAAACTTTAGAACCAATTTGAATAATGAGCTGAATTTGATGTTCTACTATTGTATGTAGCAGGGATGCTTTTGTTTAAATGTTGCTAGGCAACATTTGGTTTAAACTTGGGATATAAAAATAAACTGAAGTGAGTGGATGGAAACCTCTGAATATTAAGAAAAACTGATTTCTGTCATTATTCTGACATCAGACAGAAATATTGTTTTTAATCCTGACAGGAAGGATCATCCGATCAGTGATCGGCTGGTTGAGTCTTTCCGTTTCTAAACACATCCGTCATCAGCTTCTGTCTGACTTTAATTATTAATCAGATAAACAGATGCGTCTGTGCAGTGATCAGTTTTACATCGCGATTGCTTCAAATTAAAGTTCTACGGATCTGTTCCTTCAGAATGCGCCGGACCGGACCGGACCGGGAGGAGAGGAGAACCGGACCAACTATGCAAATAATAAAGGAAAACTAGACGATATTTAAAACACTTTGTCATGAGAGGCACACGGCTGGAAGCTTCCTCTCAACTGATCAGAACCAGATCTGGAAGCAGGTTCTACAGGCGATTAACATTTTAAAAGGAGTTTGACGGTTTGACAATGAAAGTCTGACAGCTTTAACCAGAATAACAATGATGTGAATGAAAGTTGTTTTCTCAATCTTTTATTAAGGGTCCAAACCTGGTTCTGTGCGGAAAGTAATCACACCCTGACCCAGATTCCCACGGCTGAGTCTCACAACTTTGACCCGCTTTGCTTTGGACGTCATGCAGGTTCAGAAGCAGCACAGCAGCCCACAGCATCACACTACCTCTGCCGTGTTCGATGTTCTGGTTTTCCTCTAGACGGAACCGGACCCACATCCGGTCCGCCTCAGCCTCATCGGCCCACAGAACATTTCCCCACAGGGTTCCTGACCTCTGACCTCAGCTGAGGCCGTGGTTCTGGTGGGTCATTCTGCTTCAGGCGTGGGTACTGGTTCTGAGCCGGTTCTGTTGTTCTTAGGAAGCTTTAACCAGTAGAATGAGCTGGACCGGGCCGCTCCAGAACCGGGATGTTTGTGATTGGACGGGTAAGAACCAGGTTCGGTTCTGACCCGGTTCTGTCTGACTGATCCGAACTCTGCTTGTTGTTTGCCGTTGTAGGTTGAAACAGGAAGTGAGCAGCTCACACATTGAAACCACAGACGGACACGCGCGCCCGTGTCTGCGCACGCTCCTGCTCAGCGGCACTCCGGCAGCGGCTATCTGCCTGCTAGCTGAGGAACCGGGGGCGTGGGGCAGTTAACCCGGATTATTCTGGGGCGCGTGCGTGTGCGCGCGCTCGCCAGCAGCTAGCCCGTTAGCTGTGACGGAGCGGCAGCCCTGCAGCCGCCGCGCTCCTCCCCGGCCTGCGCGGCTCCTCCCGGGCAGCGCGAAGCCCGCCGCGGACCTACGGAGCTCCGGCAGCGGGGCTCCGAGGAGCCTCGCTCCGGGCTCACTGTGTGACGTTATTGCCGCTAACCCCGCTCCGCGGAGACGGCCCGGGGTGAAAATCTGCGCACTTTGCGTCATAAAGCTGTGCGGAGGAAACAGCGGCGCTAAACTGAACGGGAAGCCGCGGGAAGAGAGGATGGAAGAGGAAAACACTTACAGTCTGTCCGCTCCGCGCTCCGCGGCGGCCATTTTTATTTAAATAAATAAATTTATATTAAAAAAACTCCAAACATCTCCGCTGTCCTCCGTCAGCAGCGAAACACCGCGAGATCTCAGCCAATAGCAGCCAAGACAATCAACCAGGGGCGTCGTAATCCCGCGAGATTTTATGTTGGTGACGTCAGGCTGAGGCTTTCAGGGACCTCTCGGAAATTTTCCTCACTTCCTTCAGAAGTTTGAACAGAGGATCTTTTTATTTCTCCTCCATCTCCTATGGCACGGCTGAACTACTCTACTAAATATTTCTGATCACTGAATATGTCTCCAGTACAAATAGGAGAATCGCCATGATCTATCGAAACATTGCTAAGTTTTGATATCAGCCTTGTTGTTTTCAAGCGATGGTGAGCCCGGCAGTATTTGTTTCCCCCAAATTTTTTACGCAAAAACTCCTCATTCAGGATATGTTCTGAAAACTGTAATATTTATTGTCACATTTCCTTCCCTTACCTGCTTATTATTATTACAATTGAAACTTTATTTGCAAACTATACGTTCATTGTTGCACTAATGAAATCAAAACCATAAATAAGATGATAAAAACATTTGTAGTCAAACAAAATGAAAGCAAACAAAAAATAATTACATAAAACAATGGAAAATATTATAATTACCATTATTCAAACGTCATTGGCAGTGTTTATGTCTGTAGTTACATTAATACACATATAGACATTAAAAATATAACAAAATAAATAAATACTTAGCAATTGAAAATGGAAAACATATTTCTACTTCTGTTATTTTGCTGCAGTACCAGATTGAAGCAGCAGGTGGCAGAGTGGCTCAGTGGAGCAGCTGGTAGAACTGGTGATGCCTTGCAGTAAGAAGGTTCTGGGTTCTAATCCCTGCCTGGAGGTTCTTCTGGTGCATGTGTGGGTTCTCTGGCTTCCTCCCAGGCCAGAACTGGGACCGCCTATCTGGCCCCGGATCCGGTTCTGGTCCCGGTTCCGGCCTGTCCAGCCGTGAGGAGCTTATAGCTCCTCACGGCATGGTGGCCATTCAGGCAGGAAACTGATCTGTGGTTCAGGAGAAGTTCTGTATATCAGCTTCCTGTTGGGTCAGAACTTTCTGGGTCACAGATTCTGTTCGACCAGTTCTGAATGTCAAAGAGCCTGGAGGACGAGGAACTGGGACTGGTGCTCATTTACTCATCCTGTGTGCGTGTGTGTGTGTGTGTGTGTGTGTGTGTGTGCGTGTGCGTGTGTTGTGTGTGTGTGTGTGTGTGTGTGTGTGTGTGTGTGTGTGTGTGTTCAGGCGGCTCTGAAACCAGAACCACAGAGGAAGCGGCTATAGACCAGAAGTCCTCACATGATCATATCGACATATTTCTCTAGGGTTCTTTTGGACCCGATCAGAACTGCAGAACCTGGCCCTGGCCAGGAGGACTCAGAGAACCAGAGCCCGGTTCCAGAGAGGCAGCATTCCCATCTGGAGTCCAGGTTCTGGTTCAGACACTAAATCTGTGTTGAGCTCCTCACAAGATAGCAGAGTGGGCGTGTCTACTGACAGGATATGAGTCACTTCAGTCAAACACAACAGGAAGTCTTCATGCAGCACTTCCTGTAAACGAAATAAAAGCCCCACAATCCCAACAGGAAGGCCAACTCAGAGGTGGCGGTTCTGTTCCAACCCAAACCCAGCAGAGACAGCAGGTCAGGATCCACCGGCTTTCCAAACAGAACCACAGTCTGATGCAGACGGTCAGAACCAAACACGTAGAATCCAGCAGGATCCAGCCCAGAACCGGGTCTTGAGATCAGCTGAGGTTCTGACGTCTGGAACCATCAGGTCCAGAACTGATGGTTCTGTTTGTACTGGAGATGGAAAAGCAGCAGGATCTCACAGAAGTTCTGTTGGTTCTCCTGCCTCTGGTTCTGACCCAGTTACTGCTGTTCTACAAGTTCTATCTGTTTTATTTTAAAGGGCCAGTATCACGTGTGTTCCACTATGTGTGTGTGTGTGTGTGTGTGTGTGTGTGTGTGTGTGTGTGTGTGTGTGTGTGGTGTGTGTGTGTGTGAGTGTGTGTGAGTCATCCCAACATGGCTCCTCTGTTAACCCTTTAAAACCAGTGTTCCTCTGAGCAGCAGCTCCTATAGTAAGCTCAGCAGATGTCTGCTAATTTCTTCTGGCTAGTCTGCAGGAGGAGAGTCATGGAGGACGGCTGATGTGTGATGCGGAAGCTCTGATACTGCAGCTCAGAGGAGGAGCTGCATCTCGAAGGCGGGGCTAAGTCCACCTGAGCGTTTTGGAGCTGAATGGTTGCCATGGAGATTAAAGGATTTCTCAAACACAAACACAAAATAAAACGTGTTGCAAAACTCAAATACGTCAATTTTACATGATACTGTCCCTTTAATACTATTGAGAACTTCCGGATCAGAACCATCCGGTCCAGATTGTTCACAGAACTTTGCAATATCCTTCCAGCTACTAAGGCCAAAGGTCAGATAGTTTCATTTTGCAGCTGCACTCTGGCCGGATGGAGCAGTTTGGACCTGTGCAGGCGCGTTTTCCGGTACTGGGTTCTACCTGTTCGAACCCGTACATGTTGCGTCTACCTGCGCAGGTGCAAAGCGGGCTTTTATTGTGACTGGTCACACCGGAAGCGGCTCTTGGTGCCTGGCACTTGTGAGCGCCGTGAACGGAAGTTGCCGCAGATCAGAAGTTCTGAAGTAGCTCAGTCCGGAGAGTTACCGGGCTGGTTCTGATGCGACCCTGTCCGGCTCGGTTCGGTCAGAAACATGTCCGAGGGAGAGCCGCGGGCTTATTTCCTGTACCAGCTGCCCTCCTCGGTCCACTGCGAGTTCTGCCGGGTCATGGATGGACTACTGGACCTGGACTGGAACCGGTTCGGTGAGTAACACAGCAGAACCACCCGAACCGCTGGAGGCGGCACCAGAACCACAGTAGTGATCGGGTTTTACAGCAGAAAGCTCGGAGTGACGCTCCAGGTTGAGTAACGTGATCATTTGGGTCCTAGCGTTCAGGTGAGGTTCCGTTAGCAGGGCGTGGTTCTTCCTGGAGGTTCTGGTCGGTTCGGCAGCAACGCCAGTAAAAACTAAGTACATCAATCTTTAAATGATTGGAGTGAACTGAGGTTTAAACTGTGGTTCTGGTGCCGGGTTCGATCAGAACTGTAGATTCCTGATGAGTGCAATCAATCAATCAATCAATCAATCAATCAATCAATCAATCAATCAATCAACCAATCAATCAACCAATCAATCAACCAATCAATCAATCAATCAATCAATCAATCAATCAGTGTTATCTGTATAGCACATTTCAGCAGCAAGGCGTCTCCAGAGCTTTACATCACAATCACAAAGTCATAGAATCAACAATCCATCAGGTCATCAATAAATTGATTATTGATTATGTTTCCAATAAAACCAACCAGCTGCTTTCAGTCTGGACTTTAAGGATCTCAGGGTTTCGGCTGTTTTACAGTTTCTGGACGTTTGTTCCAGATCTGTGGTGCATAGAAGCTGAAAGCTGCTTCTCCTCGTTTGGTTCTGGTTCTGATGCAGACCAGAACCAGAACCAGAACCTGATGGGTCTGGAAGGTTGCTATGATGACAGCAGATCTTTGATGTGTTGCTGAGCCGCTCAGTGATTCATAAACTAACCAGTGAGGGACTGTAGAACCGGCCGGGTCCATGTGCTCCATCCTCCTGGTTCTGGTTCTGGTTCTGGTCAGAACTCCAGGACCAGGAACATGGAACTGAATCAGATTCACAGTTTTGATCCAGCTCTGATCACCAACAGCAGCAGGACCAAACTGGGTCAGAACCAGCCAGCAGGATGAACACACGTTCTGTTCAGACCAGAACCAGGTTGACCCAGCAGGAGGTTCTAGAAACATCCCTAGGATTGACAGGTTGGTACCTAGAGAGATCCAACTCATGGTCCTGAAGGTTTTTCACTGTGTAACTGGGATGGTCCAACAGAACTCCCCGGGTTTTGGATCTCTACAGCAGAACCAATAAGATCCGAGTCGGCTTCGGCCTCCACCGAAATGCAACACAATAACATCTCCTTCACCTGGATACTGATGCAACAGGTGTGGATCAGTTTGCCTCTCTGCTCTGGCGCAGTGTTTCTCAACCTAAGGACCCATAATCACATTAAACTTTTCACAAAACATAAAAACATCTAAGATTTGGCGCTTTTTTATTACTATAAAAACTAATTGGCAATTCAAAACATCCCAGTTCAGTATGTGGGCTGTGCTCATAAAAAAAGCTTCTAACCATAACCGTCCACGATTTAGTTCTACTGGAACCAAAGATCTGTTTGAGAACAGTCTCAGAACCAGCTTCATGTTTTGTCAAAAGAACCACAGAATCTTCTCAGTGACCCGGCAGTTCTGGTTCTGTTGATGGTTCTGAAGCTCAGTGGTCCTCAAGGTGGGTCAGAACCGGTTTTGGAACTAAAACTGAACATAGTGAGGTCATGACTGGGTCACAGGAGCCTAAAGATATTAGTAATATATATTAATGTTAGCGATGATGATATTAATGTTAGCGATGATGATATTAATGTTAGCGATGATGATATTAATGTTAGCGATGATGATATTAATGTTAGCGATGATGATATTAATGTTGGCGATGATGATATTAATGTTAGCGATATCATCAATGTTAGCAATGATGATATTAATGTTGGTGATGATATTAATGTTGGTGATGATGATAATGTTAACAATAATGATATTAATGTTAGCGATGATGATATTAATGTTAGCGATGATGATATTAATGTTAGCGATGATGATATTATTGTTGGCGATGATGATATTATTGTTAGCGATGATGATATTGTTAGCGATGATGATATTATTGTTAGTGATGATATTAATGTTAGCGATGATGATATTAATGTTAGCGATGATATTAATGTTAGCGATGATGATATTAA